AAACAGCTCTTAAATAAATTTAAAAATTTAGTATATATGTCTGACTTTTAGACATAAAAGATCATTTTTCTTAACTATGGAACCACATTTAATTGAGTTGTATTTGGGTAAGTGATTTTTAAAACTATATATTTTGTAAGTTAAAATTTTTAAAAATTAATAAAATCTTATACTACTCTATATTGTTATTCTTAATTAGAGGCCTGGTGCACGAAATTCATGCATGCGGAGTGTGTCACTCAGCCCAGCCTACACCCTCTCCAATCTGGGACCCCTTGAGGGATGTCCAACTGCCCTATGGGGATCGAGCCCAAACAGGCAGTCGGACATCCCTCTCACAATCCAGGACTATTGGCTCCCAACTGCTCACCTGCCTGCCTTCCTGATTGCCCCTAATCGCTTCTGTCTGCCAGCCTGATCACCACCTAACCACTTCCTTGCCAGCCTGATTGATGCCTAACTGTTCCTCTGCTAGCCTGATTGTCCATTGAACAAATAATCTCATAAAAATTACAAATTATCATAAGTGCTATGAAAGAAAAGTATATGACTCCATAAATGTGTAGCAGAGAGACCCACTTTCTCTGGAAACTCAGAAAAAGTTTCCCTGAGAAAATTAAATCTGACTCAAGACCTAAGGGATGTTGAGGAGGAGAGTTCCAAGCAGAGAAAGGAATACTTTTCCACTTCCAGACATGTTGGCTCCTTCTTTGCTGAAATTTTTATTTCTATATTTGCTGTCTCTTGGCATTTTTCTCTTAAACTTTATTGTATTAGCTATCAATCCTGAACTTCTATTCCCATAATAATAATAACAGCAAATGTTTATGGAACACATACTACCTGGAAGATACCACTCTAAGCAATTTACATACACAAACTCATCTAATCTTCACAGTGACCATACTGAGGTAGGTTATATAGATGAGGAATCTGAGGTACAACCATGGTACTTGTCTAAAATTACAAAGCTGCTGGTACTAATCTTGCATGTTCCCTATCTGCTTCATAACTTATCACTCCAAGCTACCAAGGTAAATTAGCACTACTAATGGAAAAGAATACAAAATCTCCTATATCCTCCAAACTGCCACCATCTTCAATTTGGTTCGATCATGCTTATTTTCTCTAGTTTTCAGAAATTAGAAATAAAAAATTGACCAAGGTAGCCTACAATCAAACATCTCCAGGAGCAAGAAAAATGTTCTTAGAAAAAGTGATACATTCTTACCAAGTGATTGGTTCAGAAAATGAAATACAAAAACTGGTCAAAGAGAAAGATTTATAATTTACTTAATTCCTTCTGTACCTCTCAAGGGAGATGAAGATAAGAATTTTTTTTCTTTTAAATCAAACTCATAAATGTTTTGCATGTATTTGCCAAGCTAAAATAATATATAGTATATTGGCTATGATGCAGAAGAAACTCCCAAAATCTATTCTTTTCTTTAGGTAAGCATCTTTTTAAAAAATTTTTTTAAAGGAAAGAAATTACTATTAGATGACCAAGGCCTCACTCAAAACTGTATCGAGATTTTTTTTAAGTTTCTGTTATGACCAAAACTTTAATTTACAATTCTCCATTGAAGGTGATGTGAAAAACAGTAATTAAGTGGGCGATGGGTACAAGTGAGTGTGTGACTCATCATTTGCAAAGGAAAATGATTTTGGGGAAAAGGCTCAGGAAGAGAAAAAGCAAATAATGGATTCTGCAAGAAATGCAGACCTTTCCTGTCCAAGGACTGTCACCAGTTCTTTATTACTTGAAGATTAAGGGAATACTGAATAAAGCTGTCTGCCAGACAGCAGGAAAGGTAAGAAATAACACTGTCTCTAAATGTACCTCATAAGAAAGCACTAAGAAATGCATTCATAAAATTAAACTTTTTATATGAAGTTACTAGAAAACCCAACTCAAATCTGAACAATGGAAATGTCAAAATAAAACAACATTACATTTGTCAGGAACTTGAACAGAATGAAACAGCATGGTAGGTCAAGTTGTAGGCTGTCTATAATTTTATTCCACTTTGTTTTAGAAAAACCACAGATCCAATACTGATTTAGTAGGAGACTTGGTAGCGTTTGCATTTGGTTGTTTTTCTACTTCATGGGTCAGTGTAAAATAAATTTGTTTTTTACTATTAGGTTTCACCAAATTTAGGCAATTTGTTTCTCATTCCACATGTCAAATACAAGCCATTTAATCGAGTTTTACTTCTTTACTAACTGCCCCATCCTATTCATATGTATCTCGAATATATTGTATATATTTATATATACTTTATAAAAACACATTTAGATAAAGATATTATTATCTTTGCATTATTAACCTTAAAGACAATGAAGAGAATTTCATTTTAATGAAGTCATATTTAATAGGTTTTATCCAACTTAATTTTTTAACTAAATTCTTAATTTACGTTTTCATGTGCATTGTAGAGTCCCTACTATGCAACAACACTGAGCTAGATGTCTAATACATATTATCTATTTAAGAATACTAGGTTTATTTTGTTATATACTGCCTGAAGATAAGGAAACAGAGAATTGTTATAAAGTGATCTGAGTCATATCACTGATGGGCTTATATATGTGCAACATCCAGCCATTCTAGCAAAACTTATGCATATAGCTTAGAAATTTACTCATGAAACTGTGCAATCTAATTTGAAGAAGTCTCAAAAAAAATTAACAGCTCTGTGTATGAATGATCGATCACACATGCATGTTAGACAACAGATTCAAACTTGGGCAGTTCAATTAAAGAAGGTATGACTTTTTAAATGAAAATGACTGATTTAGTTAATAACAGTAGTTTCTAGAAAAGGAGGTCATGTTTCTGAAGTCAACAAGATAAAAATTATCAGCTTTAATTGTAAATAACATTTGAAAATAATTTACAATTATAAAGATTTTTTTTCCCATTTGTAAATATGCTTAATTTTCAGGAGGTTTCTTTTTGTTTTTGGCTATCATATCACCTAATATTTTTGTGATCTCTTTATAGGTATTAAAGCATTTTCATATTTTAGACCTTATGTAATCCTGTCAGCAATGGTATAAATAACTCAAGTGTGATTAATATTATGTATTAATATTAATACTATGGGTGATATTAATACCAAATAGTCAAACATTTTTCTGGATTTTTTCTATGAAGCTGTTTTTTTGTTTTTGTTTTTTAATGAGATTAACACTTACAATTATTAGATTGGGTAAAGCAGATTATCCTCCATAATATGGATGGGCCTTATCTAATTTAATTGAAAGCTTTAATAGAGCAAAGACTGACTCCTGGAACAAAAAGGAATTCCGCCAGCAAACTGCCTTTGGACTCAAACTGCAACTCTTATTAGTCTCTAGCCTGCCAGCCTACTGTGCAGAGTTTGGACTTATTAACCCTCTATAATCATGTGAATTAATTCCTTAAGCATAAATCAATCAATAATCCTCCCTTTGTCTCTTCCTCTTTCCCCCCCTCTTTACACACACACACACACACACACACACACACACACACACACACTTTCTCTAAGAAAACAGAGAACAGGAAGTCAGATCTTTATCTTTGTCTACAGTCATTCCTGAAAAGATGCTAAAATTCTCAAGGAGATGAAAAGTAGAATTCAGTTTCCATGCCCTACCACTTAGCCAGTCTAACGTTCTTTTTCTTTTAAAATACTTATCTGACAAAACTAATCAGCTCTGGAAAACAGTTTGGCAGATGCTCAAAAAGTTAAGCATAGAGTTGTCACCTATTTCACGCCTAGGTATATTCTCAGGAGAATTGAAAACATATTGTCCACACAAAAAGCTGTACATGAATGTTCATAGCAGCATTATTTATAATAGCCAAATGCAAAAACATAAATGTCATAAGTTGAAGAATAGATTTTTTTTAAAAAGTGGTACATCCATACAACTAAATGATTCAGGGATAAAATGCTACAACGTAGATGAATCTTGAAAACATGCTGAGTAAAAAAAGGCAGATGAAAAAAGGCTACATATTGTATAAATTCACTTATATCAAACTAGAGGCCCCTCAACCTAGCCTGCGCCCTCTCGCAGTCCAGGACCTGTAGGGGGATGTCATGCTGCCAGTTTCGGCGTGATCCCCGCAGTTGGGTCAAAACTGGCAGTCCCACATCCCACAAGAGATGAAACAGTGCTCAAAGCAGCAGGTAGCTGGGGAGGAGCCCATCATGGCAGATGCAGTGCAGCTCCTGGCCCTGCTGTGCTTGCCACTGTTTGGTAACACTGCCATGGAAGTGGGAGAGGCTCACATCACTGCAGCTGTGCTTGCCAGCCATGAGACCAGCTTCTCGCTGAGCAGAGCTACCACTGTGGGAGCACACTAACCACCTGGGGGCAGCTCTTGTATTGAGCGTCTGCCCCCTAGTGGTCAGTGTGCATCACAGCTACTGGTCAAGCGGTTGACCAGTCCAGTGGTTGACCACTCACGTAGGCTTTTATATATATAGATGTCAATGACAGGCAAATTCATAGACAAAAAAATAGATTAGTGCTTGACAGAAGCAAAAAAAAAAAGGAGTGTGGGGGGCAGACAACAGCCCAGCCTGCATAGCTCAGTGGTTGAGTGTTGACTTATGAACCAGGAAGTAAAGATTCTATTCCGAATCAGGGCACATGCCCTAGTTGCAGGGCTCAATCCCCAGTGTGAGGCAAGCAGGAGGCAGCCTATCAATGATTTTCTCTCATCACTGGTGTTTCTATCTCTCTCCCTCTCTGAAATGAATTAAAAAAAAAAAAAACACGTTAAAAAAAATATTTTTTTTTTAAAAGGGAGACATTAGAGAGTGAATACTTTCAGGTATGGAGTTTCATAATAGAGTGATGAAAACATTCCTGAATTAGGCAGTGGTGATCACTGCAAAATATTGTGAATATACTAAAACCCACTGAGTCACGCAATTTAAAATTATTAAGATAAGTAAGTTATATCTCAATTGAAAAATAAAAGCAAATCAACATACCTGCCCTTTTTGTGGTGCCAAACAACGAACAACTTCATCCACCATTACTGGGATATGTAGTTTACTCATAGCTTCAGAATCTCTGTCTTGAGATCTGTGAAACTCATGAGATCCAGCTTGATTTGTTTGCTCCTGGGGTTCAAATTCATCACATCGTTCTGACGTAGCATGTATCCGTTTTGGGCAGACACCTAAATTAAATATGCCAGCTTCCAACCAACATGAAAGAAATTCTTTATAGGTTCTACAAAAGTGTGGATAGCGAAGCATTCTGAACGTCAACAAATCTAGAAAAGAAATTTTAAATATCATGATTGTTGGGTTTTTTAAAAGGATGTTATAATAATTGGGGAAAAGCAAAGTAATATATAATATGTACCACACAAAAATGTGTCAGATTCATCATCTCAAACAAGTGTGAGTGACTAATCTCCTTATACAAAGCAAGGAACATAAAACAATTTAAGAAACAATCTGAAAATGTAATTTTAAAAATATATATATATATTTTTTTTATTGATTTTTTACAGAGAGGAAGGGAGAGAGATAGAGAGCTAGAAACATGGATGAGAGAGAAACATCGACCAGCTGGCTCTTGCACACCTCCTACCGGGGATGTGCCGGCAACCAAGGTACATGCCCTTTACGGGCATCAAACCTGGGACTTTTCAGTCTGTAGACCAATGCTCTACCACTGAGTCAAACCAGTTCCAGCTGAAAATGTAATTTTTAATGTAGCCTAATTAGCCCCAAGACCATTAATGTTTTAACCATAAGAAATGTGAAAATTAATTACTTAATGGTCATTTTTCTGAAATATACTTTTTTGAATTTTAATAGTCTAAAGAACAGTTCAATGCATTAGAACTATTTATTTGAAAAAGTTATCAGGATGACCGAAGGGATTATAAATATTATCCTATGTTAGGTATAGATGATCTTTTATTTCAAGCTCTTCTATTTGTTTATCTCATAATACCAAGACTTCATCTTCAATTTAACTTTGAGAAAGCATTTCTGGAAAAAGACTATGAATGTACATCCAAAAATAAAGGGAGGTGTTCACTGTCCCAGAAAAGTAAAAATCTCACAATTTTGCTGTGGATACTCTCTGAGACCATGTCACCATGACCTATTTCATGAAATTACTTTTCAATCTAAACTATAACTTTATAAACACTAAGCTGAGCATATTTGCCATTTCATAAGCACCACTGTTTTATCAGTTCTTTGCCCTAAAAAAATGTGAAAAGTTGATATATTCTTCACTTTTTCATACTTGCTCTATTTTATTCTATAATAGGTAACTCTTTAAAACACAGAAGGAATGTAAATGTATTAATAGAAGATCTTTTGAAAACATTTTGCCTTTTTGCTCAACTGGTTGTAAACAACACTTTTGATGTGACATACTTCAGTAAGTAACAAATTAACACAACTGTCTCCAGTGAAATATGAGTCATATAAGAGAAAAACCCACACCTTTATAACGACAAAATTAGATGTGCACTAGGTGTTTAACGTTTTCTGAAAAGAAAATAAATGGATAAATTCCAGATTCTACAGATTTATCATTTTTATCAAGGTTTTGTTTTAGAAAATTTCACTTATCTGACCAACCTTACAAAATCTTTCTCAAAATACTTTAAAAAAAAAACCCACATTAATCCCATTTAAACATGCATTCCTTCAGTATTGCAATAGAAAATGAAGAATAATGTTGAAAAGCTAACACATGTAATAACTATAGAAGAGATACAAATATATCTATCTCTACATATTCAATATTATGTAAATATAATATCAACAAGATATCCTTGAGGATAACATGTCAACTTTACCAAATTCATAATAGCTGTACCAGTTAATAATGCGGATTTTATAATCGAGAAAACATGATAATTTTAAGAGAAACATCAAAAGTGCTTTATTCAAAGTAATGTCCATTACTAGAAACACATTTCCCCATCTTTAGGTAATTTGTGAATACCATCCCAATAGAACTTTTCTTGTTTTGAGACAAACCATTCAGAGACCCAATTTTCCATTTCTTCATACATTTTGAAGTCCTGCTCAGAAAGTGCATGCACCATCAATCAACAAGTGGTAATCTGAAGGAGCAAGGTCTGGTGAATATAGCGGGTGGGTTAATACTTCCCAGGCAAGATCTTTTAACATGTCTTTAACTGGTTTTGAAGTTTGGAATGGTGCATCATCATGAAGCAAAATTACTTTGCCATGTCTTCTGGCACATACTGGTTGTTTCACAATCAAAGCATGGTTCAAATTGATTTTTTGTTGTCCATAGCGATCAGTATTAACTTTTTCACCTGGTTTTAGAAGCTCATAATACACCACACCTTCCTGATTCCACCAAATGCAGAGCACTGTCTTCTTCCCAAAGAGATTTGGCCTTGCAGTTGACGTTGATAGTTGACCTGGATGGATCAACCCATGATTTTGTGCGTTTGGGATTCTCAAAATAAATCCACTTTTTATCACCAGTCTCAATTTGATGCACAAAGGACTTCCTTTCGTGCCACTGAATCAACATTCTACTGATTACTTTTTGATTTTCCATTTGTCTTTCATTTAGTTGTGTGGCACCCATTTTCCTTCCTTAAAAATCTTCCCCATTGCTTGTAAATTATCAGAAATTGTTTGCTGAGCAACATTTAATCTTTCTGCAAGTTGTTTTTGAGTTTGACACACATCTTCATTCAATAATGCTTGTAATTGTTGGTCTTCAAACTTTTTTGGTTGACCTGGATGTTCTTTGTCATTCACATTGAAATCATCACTTTTAAAGCCTTTAAATCAGCATTCACAAGTATCCTGAGATGAAGCATGTTCACCATAAGCTTCCCAAAGTATTCAGCAGCACTTTTCTTCAAAATAAAGTAATGAATTAAAACTTTCCACAAATGCTCTTTTTGGTTGGTAAGAAATTCGACACATTTAAGCATAAAAATATCTATGATGTTAACATCTTCAGAAAATTTGACATATGAAGTTTTGAAGCTTGCTGTCAATACAACAAAATAGCATACATATCAAATTGCATATATATCAACATATGTGTACCTCCATTTATTGAAAAAAAATCCGCATTATTAACTTGTCCACCTAGTACACAGAATTATGTGGCAAAGGAAATATATGGCAAAAACAAAATTTAAATATATATATATATATATATATATATATATATATATATGTGTGTGTGTGTGTGTGTGTGTGTGTGTGTGTATGTATATATATATATATGAAAAGGAAATGAGCATTTTAAATAAAACTAGATTGTTCAGCAGCAACAAATTAGCCAAATGAATAATTATGCTTTATGTTAGCTAGAAAGTGTATATAAGTAAACTCAACCACCTTTTAACTTAGTATTTCTAACATTTTTTACAAAATAAAAGCATACATTTATTAAGCACTTACTAAGTACCATAATAATTATAATAAACACACGTACTAAGTCATTCAATCCTTACTGCTTTTAGAGTAGGAACTATCATTTCCATTGTACAGACGAGGAAAACAAATAAACACTGTGTGAAAAGGTCAGATAGCTCTAGAGCCATAAGTCTAGAAGTGTAACTCCAGCATTCCATCCCCAGAGCCTGTAATTTTAACCTCTACGCTATAAACATAGAGACAACTGGCTCTATTTAATACACGTATGTAGCTGAAGAGCACTTTAATTATACTATGTATTGTAGTACCTCATAAATTATATTCTTTTTTTTTTTAAGGAACCAATATCCTACCTATTGCTTGGTCCTACTCTACCTGGGAAAATAATATACTATGGGGTACCCAACAGAGGTCATACATTATATAGGTCTAAATAGTGCAATCTGAAGTATTTAAACAATCTAAATTGTGTGTCCAAACTTTGATAATGTTTAAAACACAAAACATCAATTCCAATATAGGAATCAGAACCACCTGGGACAAAGAAGGAGGGTAGGAAAAAAAATGCTGCCTTTGCCAGCAATTAATTCTTTTCTTCTATATTCAATTTCTATTTACTCAACTACGTTCAAAATACAAACCCTGAAGATTTTATTATGCACCAATTGGCTACTACTAATCAAATGGGTTAACATGGAGTAAGGGCCACAATAATTTTCTTCTTTGGGTGTTTCCTTGAATACCTTGCAAGGAGGTAAACTACAAAGTTCCTTCTCTGTCCTCTGCTGCCCAATCTCCTACCAGAAACCCAAAAGCACTCCTGCAATCCTCCAGGAACCAGCCACCCTACATGATGTAAGCAGGCAATATATGTACCCTCTGGTCACAGCAGGGAAGCAGGGGGTCAGGAAACCTGGCCCAATCCGTGGCTTCCTAAGTCACTGAACTTTCCTTTGCACCAAAGTCCGGTTTCGCTGTTGAGACCACGGAATCCGGCAGGTTACTCTTTTAACTGTCGAAGCACAAACGTGAGCGATACAACTTCCTCAGTGGGACTAACCATTGCCATCACTGCAAGTCCGTTTTCTCCGCAGAGAAAACTTTTGAGAACTTAATTCCTGAACCCAGAGCCTGGCGCTGGAACGCAGAGAATGTGAACGTTCTAAAGAGAGAAAAAAAAAGGGGAGGAGAAAGGGGAGAAGACATCCTTTGGCCTAAGAATTCTCCTAGGTCGACATAAAACTGTAGAAAGTTCTTAACTCAGGATGAATGAGCGCGGAGGAGGGGAAGCGGGCGGTGGGGGCAGGGGCGCTGTCTCCTTTGTCCGGGGGACCTGGGGGCCTCCAGAAGGTCCCCCCAGACGCGGGGGGAGCTCCCGGGACTGGGCCGCCGTCTCCTCACCTGAAGAACCAAGATGTCTCAGCTGGCCTCTAACCCAGGACACCCACGGCCACTACGGGGGAACTGAACTTGTGGCACGCCTCCGTCCCAACCCGGGGGAAACTTGAAAAGACGGACAGACCGGGCCTGCGTCCGGCCCACAACCCGGGACCTGCGCCTTTGGTTCCGCGCTTCCAGCCCCTTGGCCCAGGGCCTTGTAGGCGCTGGAGTCTCCAAAAGGTGCTCCTTGGTGGGGAGAGGGAGTTGGTAAATAAGACCCTGGCAATGTCAGGATTTAGTTCACTTTTACTTTTTCTTTTTAAATGTCAGATGCAACTTTGAATCTAACTTTCCATTTTATACTTGCCTCCATTCTTCATTTTACTATGCTAAATTTCTGTTCTAATTAACATAGAAGTTAACTGTACACCAGTTAATGTGTCTCCTTAGCACTGTATGATTCTAAAGTTTTGGTTCTTTTCTTCATTTCCATACGAAATAAGTTCGTCTCTTACGCCTTCGGTTGTAATCCCTAACGTCTTGCCAAACTAAAGAGAGCTGGCACAGTCGTGGCATTGGTTACAATGTTAAAATTGGTCTGTTTTAACTAAGTATACATTCCTTAAAAATGCGGAGCTCATCTGAATACTGCTTAATGGCAGTGTAAGGCAACATTTTAAATTAAATTAAAATAAGTACTTAGATTAGGTGTGGAAACACCTGTTAGAATGAGAAGCTAACAATGTGTGTCAAAAACGACGAAATTTAAGATATCTACTTTCTCAGTCACCAATGACCAATGCAATTTTATAAGAAATTGGTAAAACACCTGTTTAACTTTCTATTTAGATAGAATCTTTTTACCTTTTTTCTTTTTCTTTTTAATAGCATCTTAATATCCCTCAATCTGGAAAGTATTTTGAGACAAATTACTCAATTCTGAATTTGATGGTTTGTACAGTTCAAACAAACTTTTCCTTTAGGGATTTCCTGAAAACTGCAGTTTTCACTTCAATAAAATAAATAGTACCCACATCTCATGGCTGTTTTGAGAATTAAATTACATAACATATGTAAAGTCAATAATATGCCTGGGACATCAAAGAAAAAGAACTGTAGAGTGAGGTGTACATGTGAATTTTTTAAAAATATTTGTTAGTTTTATTATTAAACTCAGCATCTCTCTCACACACACACACTATTGTATTTGCTAAGATATATGTAATGCAGCCAGTAATTAATAACCTTATTGATGCTCTATCCTCTGTTCAAAACCAATCATATAACATACATGTATCATATACAATGCACAGTACTTCTGATTTTCTTCCATAAGAAGTAGGTGTCCATTTTATAAGGGTTTTCCAGACATTGTTTTACTTATAAAACTCTGCATTAGTGTTGTGACATCCTACTTATACGGTGATATTGAATCACCAAAATATAAGCTCCAAGTGGGTAGGGATATTGACACAACTGTACACTATTATGTTCCTAAAATCTACAATCAACAATTGCTCAATAAATGGATACAATAATGATAATAATATAAAGAACAGCAATGGAATTAAGATCATACTATTAAAAAATTCCTGGCGACAAATTATCTTAGCAAACATATTTCGCATTTTATCCTGGCATTTTTTTTTCCTTTTAAAGTGTACATTCTGAAATCATACATAAAACCTAGTACTTAAAAAAAAAAAACACCCACTGCTTCCAATAATGAATAGGCCAATAAATTTAAACGAATTTATTTTGAAATGCCATCATTAGAAATATAAAAAACAGCCAAACACTCAATGGATTCACAGTCAGCACAAAAGAGAGTAGGCCTGGCAGTCCAGAAAGATAAAGCCTATTAGGGCCTCAAACTTAAAGTCCTGGACTTTTAATTAATTGAGGCTTATTGATCACGGTTCGGTCCAAGAGAGAGTGGCCTGGGACCTGTGCCTTTGGAGGCCTCGCTGGTCAATGGAGAAAAGGAGAAAACAAACACCCAGAATCTATTCATCCACACCCAACAGACTCTGCCTCTTCCTCTAGCAGAGGGCATGCATACATCCACCCAGGCCCACCCCCTTCTCACGTACACCCTGCACCCCTGGACCCCGCCTGGCGCCCGCGCCTCCTAAAGCAGCCTCCTGAGACTCCCAGGTGGCTCATCCCACCTGCGGCTCCGGCCTAGCCCCGCCCACCTCGGCCGCGGCCTCCGGAAACAGCCGCGGCGTGCGTTGCTAAGGAGACGCGAGTCCAGGCCGCTTCCGCTGAGTCGCGCGGCGGAGACTTTCGGAGCCGGGCCGCAGCGGGCCGCTTCTACGCGCCGCGGCAACGTCCGGCGTGATGACGTCACGAACGCGGCAGCCAATGAGACGGGGCGCTGGGGAAGCTAGCTTGGGTTTGAATCTTCTGGTTGAGTTTGAGCCGCTGGGAGGCTGCTATGGAAGCGGAGAGGCGCGGTGTCCTCTTTTGGGCCTGATGCAAGGGAAGAGGAAGCCCAGGGGAAGCGGTTCTCGGGAAGCCGTCTTGGATGACCTGTCTGGCTGGAAGCGGAAGGGTCCCGCCGCCTCACACGTGGAAGACCAGGTGGGCTGGCTTAGGAACCAGCAGGAAAGCGTTGAATGGAGGGTGGGGGTGAGGGTGAGGGTGAGGGTGAGGGTGAGGGTGAGGGTGAGGGTGGAGGTGGAGGTGGTGAGGATCCCCGGGGAGAAAGCTAAAGGGAGAGGAAACTGGAGAACCCCCAAGCGCCTGGCTCTGTGTGATCTGAAGCCCGCGACTGCTCCGCAGGAAGGGAGGAAGGGCTGGTATCTCCTGCCTGACATTCAGAGGAAGTGGAAGTTTTAAAGGGCACCCTGGCCCCTTTCCCAGGCTTCGGCAGAGCACTTTCTGCCCAGCACTGGACAATGTAAAGTGACCTCCGCACCCCAAATTCAGAGTGTTTTGGTCCAGACACAGATGTATCAGTGACTGGGCATCACTGTCAAATGAGGCACCTTAGTTCACCAATTTATAAACTTTTTTCCCCCCCGTGAGGTTCTGCAGTTAGACTGGCAAAAGTCAATGGAGAACCTGCCTTCAAGGCCTGAGCGCCAAGATTAGACCTGCCAGCACTGCCTAACGGATTGCTGAGGATCAGAGGAGGTATGCAAGAAATCAGACTGCTTGGCAAGTTGCAAATGAAAGGGACATGAAGCTGGAGAATCGGTCCTTCTAAACGTCTGTTCTTAGTTTCTGCAAGACTCCTTTAGGCACTCGGTTACACAGAGCTCAAAGCTGACCGCCGCTTATGAGATTTGACCAGACAAGAATAATTTTGCTGCATAATATGTAATTTAGGTTAACTATTAACAGTCAGGTAGAATGTGTTGGGCATTCTACAGGTTTTAGTTGGTCGTGTTATTCCACCACCTTGAGTTTTGGAAGGTATAAATAAACTTTGGTGCTAGAGAATATGAGATTCAAAGACTACCTAGGGCTTGTTATTTAAGTTTCTGTTATTTTGTAATAATTGTATTTCAGTACAAAGATTATCTGCCTTTAACTGTAGTGGTTAATGTCTCTTCTGTTGTTGAACAAGTACTTAAAAGAGCATGAAATTTTCATTTTTAAAAAGTACTTCTTGTCCCACTAAAAATACACCCTGAGTCGATGAAGGTACACATAAAATTGCTTTTATGCCATCGACTATAAAAACTAGGAGGGGAAAAATAGCCCAGATGTCAGTGCCACCCTTCCCTGCATGTGAAATTCGTTCCTTGATGTTTGTAAGTTAGTAGAAGCAACGGTTCTAACAGTAAAGTTATTTCCAAAAAAAGTTGCCTGGAGACAATAAATGATAGTGTGGAGGATAATTCCTGGTCCTAAAAACAATTTGTTGGATCTGAATCTAATCAGGTTTGAGTTTGTATTTAACTCTATCACTCCACATTCAAGATGATTTGTGCAACATTTCTGTTTCGTTGTTTGAAAGCATTCTGTTCTGATTCCAGGTCAGAGCATTGACTTTGGAGTTGGACTTGGATCCACATTCTGACTCCTCTCTTACTAGCTATGTCAGCTTGGCAGAATTAGTTATTCTAAAACTAGGTCTCTGGTCTTTGTAAAATGGAGACAATAATAGAATCTACCTTATATATGATTATTTTAAGGATGGAATGAGATAGGGAATGTCAAATGTTTACCATAATGCCTGGCATATAGAGTGTTTTCAAATGATGGTCATTGTTGTTTATGATTATTGAATATCACTGTATAGACCTAATCCAGGAGTTCCCAACTCATGGTATATTTTGAGAGAATAGAAACTGTGATAATCAAACATAAACTTTGTTTTATTTCAACATGTATTCAAGAGCTCCTGTACTAGATCCTGAGATTTTTATCAAAAGTAGGCAAATATCTATTTTTAAAACTTCTGTAAGAAAGTTTCTTAGTACTATGTATTGATACCAGGAAGAATGGCAATTAAATTCTTGAGTTTTCAGATTTAGTTAGTATGTGTTCAAATCCCTTGTCTTGTGCTTCCAGTAGTGTGACTTTAGCCACTTAACACAATTTCTCCCTAACTAGCTTTTTCCTGTATAAGATGGAATCCTATATCATAGGATTGTTGTGGGGATTAAATGAGGAGCATGCAAATTGCTTAGAATGGCTGTCTGTAAAATAAGAGCTCAATACAAAGTATTTCACAAATAAAACTTGTTATCAAATGATAGTTGTCTTTAAGATAAATTTAATAATTTTTGTTTTGTTTTTGAAATTTTGTATTTAAAATTCAAACAGAAAAAAAAAGAAAAAAAAGAATATAAAGTAGAAAGCAAACCTGCCTGTCACCCAGACTTTTATATTTCCTCACCATGGGAGAACTGGCATTATCAATTTCTATGTTCTCTCCCTCAGAGTCCATGCACAAATAGTATGTATCTTTTAAACATACAAATGATTGTGTGCTGAGTCCACTATTATGCACTTGTTTTTTGGCACATGCATCATTAAAAAACTGCATTAGTTTATCATTTATTCAATAAGTATGTATTGAATCCTAAATATTTGACAAGCCCTGTTCTAGGTTCTGGGGTACAGAGGAAGACCATACTCTCACGGTGCTGACATTCTAGAGGGGAAACAATAAATAAGTAACCAAATCATACATATATTTTCCAGA